CCGGCCGGCAATGTCGGCTCTTGTGCCCCCGCCGCCGGCATTCCCGCCCCCGCAGATGATGTCGTACGGCGCGGTCGAGAGGGCGGCGGCAACGAGCGGCTCGTACGGTCCGGTGATCGCCATGCTGGCCGTCCTCGCCGTGCTCGCGGCGGTGGCCGTGGCCGTGGGGCGGTTCTACTTCGGGCGCCGCGCGCTCGGCCGGGCCGGTGGCCACGACCTGGAGGCCTGGGTGGAGCGGAAGTGCGGGCCGTGCGTGGGCGCCGGCATGCACTCCTCCGCCCCCGCCGGCGACCTGGCGAAGCAGGAGGAGGGCGACGGCACGGCGGAGCTGCAGGAGCAGCCGCCTGAAGGAACGGAGCCAGGGGAGTGCAGTGGCAGTGCTGGTCGGTCCTGAGGCCAATTGGTCTTGCTGCACACTGTAAATGGTTCCTTCATTCTTCTCTTCGAATTTGTGTTCGATTGTTTCAAGTGGTGGTAGCTAGCAATGTCTACGTTTAGTTCCGTATTTGGAGCCTCCATTTCCTCTTAGAATTCCGTGGGAGTGAGGCTCGTAATGTGTGTGCTGATTTGATGACTTGGTGCCTCCAGCAAATGGCAAGCGAAACTGGGCTGATTTGATGTTTGATTGATACTCAAATCGCCGTGTCTAAAAAAAAGTATCTGCCGTGTCTCATGCATGATAGGTACTTATACACACATACATGTACTCTCACTCACTACCAGGAGTAAGAGCATATCAAGCCGCAAGTTGCTAATTTAGACCCCTAAACGCCAGCGAATGCGCCCGTCCACAGGCATTGACCGGTCACATCTAAAAATTTGCTTCGCATAACCAGACATCTTAATTAGCAAACCTCAAATACAAAAACATGCAACGTGAACGGAAACGTTGCAACAACTTCTTTCGACTATTACCTCAAGACATGCCATCGGACTCTCAAAATTTGACATGTTACATCTACATACTGGCTATGCAGAAAATCATCCATCGCTTTCCTTGCCCTTCCCGACACTCTTGCCGTTCTTCTCACGGAAGTAGCGCTCAAAAACGCAAAATGGATTCAGCCGGATCTGCTCGTCGCCTGAGCTGAGCTACCCGTTGCTGTCCTCTT